TTTGGGCTGCTGATTTTTTTCCTAAGTTTTAGAACCAGGAAATAAGATTGATGTGGTCTTACCACAATTAGAAAACTGTAAAATGCCATCTGATGGCTGTAAGTTCAATTCCATAGGAACTGATGTTATGGTGTTTGTGGTTCTTTGTTTGTTATCTAAGGTCAGATATACATGTATTAATCAAGTTTTAAGTTATTATTAAATGTTAGGTAAGGGACTGCATGTCATATTTAGCACAGGTGGTAGTTTTTCATGGCCCCCTTTGATGCTCTCTTAATCCCCCAGCTTGAGAATTCATCATGTCTTGCCCTTTGGGTGAATTTTTTCAAAATTAAGTGCTCTCCACACAGCTTGGGCCATTTTTTAAAATTGCTCATCTCTCAGTTTGGGACAACATCTAAATTGCTCTCCCCTCAGTAGGGAGTTTTTTTAGGTTTAAAACTCTTCCCTGAGTTTGGGAGATTCGCTTAGTTTGTGGCATTTTTTGAGGATGGTGCACCCTGGGACATTTGGCCTCATGGTTTGCAATTGCAGACTTCCCAACAACAAAAGAAATATGCTTCCCCCCAGTTTACCTCCAGTACTAGTCTCATCCACTGCACTACTTGAACTCTGACCTAACAGATATCATGCAGTCCCTTGTTATCAATTAATTACTAATCGTATTATGTGGTGTTGTGAAGGATAATTAAGATAGTATATTTCCATACTTAAATTCACACAATATTACAATTAAGACACGCTGCTTCAGGCCACAACAATCAAATGAATCAATGGTTTCCAAACTTACATCCTTACAATAATCTTCATTGGACATGGACTCTCAAGTTTAATTTTTTCCCCACTACAAAACAAAACAAAAAAGGTCTAAGCAAGATACATATCAATGTTCCCTAAAGCATTTTGGTACAATTGAAGTCTTTATTTTCCTATAAAACTTTTTAAATTACTTTCAACAGCAAATCATGCCATTCATCGTCCGGCTGCGATGCAGTCGACAACTAGTTGTTTCCGCGATTGACAATCTTTCACCAGGTGCATGAATATGCATTTAAAGTAAAAACTGTAATTTGTTCAAATTTTGTATTTGAATTGCAGCCAGTCTGATGGACTGTAATATTGTTCCAAGAGAGTCTCCTTTTTTTGTCTCCCTACTTAAGACCTTAAGAAATAAAATTGGTTTGGCCTTCAGCAGCTTAATTCTGTAGGAGCTGATGGTAGATTACATGTATGTTTTGAATTTTTGGTGTTTCATGTTATCAAAGGGCAGATAAATTTTTAAGACTCGTTTATTGTAAGTTAAGGGACTGCATGTGATATTTAGCAGTTGGTGGAGTATTTCATGGCCCTTTTTCATGCTCTCTTCCCCCAACTTGAGAATTCATCAAAAAGGCTTCCTGCCAGCTTGTGACATTTTTTCCATCACGGCCCCTCCCCCAGTTTGGGACATTTTTCATTGCCCTCTCCCCTCAGTTTGGGACATTCTTTTGCCATCCCCTCAGTTTGGGACATTCTTTTGCCATCCCCTCAGTTTGGGACATTTTCCACGGCCATTCCCTCAGTTTGGGACGCATCTTTAAATTGCTCTGACTCGTGTATCCCCTCAGTTTGGGAGATTCTCTCTCTCTGCTTAGTTTGTAGCATTTTTCCGTAGATGGTGCACCCTGAACATTTGGCCTTTGGGTTTGCAATTGCAGATTTCCCAACAACAAAAGAAATATGCTTCCCCCCACTTTAACTCCAGTCTTATCCTCTGCACTACTTGAACTTTGACTTAACAGACATCATGCAGTCCCTTAAGTTTTTCATATTTAAGTATTATGTGGTGTTGTGATGGATAATTAAGATAGTATATTTCCATTTAAATTCATACAATATTACAATTAAGACACGCTGCTTTAGGCCACAACAATCAAATGACTTGGTTTCCAGATTTAATCTCCATTGGACATGGACTCTCAAGTTCAATTCTTTCACCAGTCAAAACAAAACAAAAAAGTTCTATGCAAGATTCAGAATATATCAACGTTCCCTAAAGCATTTTGGTACAAATGAAGAAAGTCTATAAAACCTTCCAAGTCACTTTCAAAAGCAAATCATGGCATTCATGAATATGCCATTATCGCCCTTCTGTGGTGTAGTCGACCACTATTCGTTTTCACGATTGAAAATCTGTCATCAGGTGCATGAATTATGCATTTAAAGTAAAAACTGTATAGAAAATGAAACTGTAACAGTTTTATTTGAAATGGCAGCCAGTCTGGAGTCCCTGCATGTATTGTATGATGGATTGTATTATGGTGACAAGAGAGTCTCCTTTTTTGGTCTCCATGGGAAAGTCTTAGAGCCAAGAAATACACAGTTGTGGCCTTCAGCAGCTTAATTCCATAGGAACTGATGTTAGATTATATTTTATATTTCTGGTGTTTCATGTTATCCAGGGGCAGATAAATTTAAGTTTTAATCTAAGACTGTTATCATTAATTGTAAGGTAAGGGACTGCAGTTGGTGGAGTTTCTAATGGCCTTTTATAACTGTTCTCCCAACAGCTTGAGAATTTATATTATGGCTCTCCCCCCAGCTTGGGACATCTTTCATTCCCCCCTCCCCCAAGCCTGGGGAATATTTTCATGGCACTCTCCCAGCTTGGGACATTTTTTATGGCACTCTCCCCAACATGGACATTTTTTATGGCTTTCTGTATCTGTATATAGCCGATACAACCACCCTTCAGCATAACACACCAGCTTCTGTATCTGTATAGCCAGTATAACCACCCTTCAGCATAACACAGCTTATATATCAGTATAGCCGGTATAACCACCCTTCGGCATATTACACACCAGCTTCTGTATCTGTATACCCGGTATAACCACCCTTCGGCGTAACACACCAGCTTCTGTGTCTGTATAGCCGGTATAACCGCCCTTCGGCGTAACACACCAGCTTCTGTATCTGTATAGCCATGAGTATAACCACCCTTCGGCGTATCACACCAGCTTGGGACATTTTGGCCTCTTTGCAATTGCAGATTTAAAAACACTATATAATCTTTGAAATATGCTTGCCCACCTCCCCACTTAACCTCCAATATCATCCTTTGCACTCTTGAACTCTGACATCATGCAGTCCCTTTATCAATACTTAATTATGTGGTGTTGTGAAGGATTTTGAATACAGGTGGGTGGAGTGAAAACCCAAATAAGCGTCATGGTCATTTCTGTATTGTCTTGTCAAGATATCACATTTGAAAGGTGTGTGTGCATTTGTGTATATGTATGTATGCACGTGTGTGTGAATGTATACATCATGTTTGCTTGTTTGCGTACATATGTTTGGATGTAATATGTATGAATGTATGTCTACACCAGAGATGATGGATGGTGGAACCAGATTCACTAAAAATGAAATTTTCCCGAGTCATTCCTTTGGCAGGTCACATTTCAAAGCTGGAGCCATCCATCGCATACTGTGTTTAAAGCTTCCAACCCTGTGAGACAACTTGAAGGCATAGATGGAAGAGTTCATCCCTTTTAACATGTATACTGCTTCGCAAGTCGGTCGGTAACACACACACACACAGACAGTATTAGACACACCCAAAAACAATACTACCGGTATACTTCCTTAAGATAGGGCTGACTTTACAGTTCGTAAATGTTTTAAAACATGCCAAGCTGAAAAGATGGCCTCTCACATAACAGGATGATTGCTTCCATTGCATGCCTCGGGACCCACCCTCAAACGCTTCAAGACTCCACTAACACTGGCAACATAAAGTGTTGTCATCATGGCCTTCTCAAGTCATGATGCTGCATCAGTTTCTACATAATCTGGCAGTCTTTGTGTACCATGCAGAATTATGCAAGCTGAATATACCTAGAATCCTGGCTTCCACTTGGAAATTCCAATTGGGTGGTACCATGTTGGCATAACTGGGTAAGATGAAATGACTGCAAACAGAAAATCTATGAAAACACACACACAGAGTAGGTGGTACGGTATCAATGACTGTTTACATTATTGTTCCAAAACATAACGTTAAAGTTCTTATACCAAGTAGTTTACAAAATAAATACTGGAATAGATACTACTAGTACATGTAACACTGGTGAATGCCTGAAATGTAAAAGGCTCAGCTCCTATCGCAGAGTTGGTTTAAAACAGCTCAGTGTGTATTATATAGTCAGACTAAAGAGGAAGTCAGACTATCCACATACAGTAGCTATCTTTAGGTTTGGGGAGAATTTAAAACACAACTATCTACTACCATCAGTTATTGCATATCCACCAAAATTCTGGCCCAAACCAATTAAAACAAGAAAACCTGGCAGATTGTCAGATTATACTCCGATTGATTGTTCATGCTGTGTATTTTACCTGGGAAATAATGTAGCTTTTAAGGTAATAGTGCAACTGGCAGTGAAGTTAGAATTAAAGTGACAATTCCCATTTGCATTAACAGTAACTTACTAACTCTAGTGTTTTCACCTTTTCTACCTGTTCTTATGTACAGAGGTAAATTGCCATGATTGTGTTCCACAATTTATAGATTGTACTGACAACACTCTTTCTGTCATGATTGTGCAAGTCTTACATATAAAACTCCTCCCTAAATAAAAGGGAATGTTAGTTTTCTACCACATTGGAAATTTTTAAATATCGTTCAATTATTGTTGAAAATATAACCTTCAAGAAGAAGTAAAATGCACCAGTTGACTTAAATCTAAATTATGTACAAGTAAAAAGACACATTCACTGGAATTCCTGACATTCAGGTATTCCAATGGGTTTTCCTCCTTCTTCTAGAAGTCTAATAATACTGATAAATACTCGATGTTATGGGGATATTGGCTTATCCTTATCCAGTTATGGTGTCCCAATGTTATCTTTATGCTATGTTAAGAGTATCTTTTTCTGTAAAGCTGCAGCAAACATTTTACAAAAAAAGAAAAATGCTGATTGTCTATTCGTGCTGTACACAACACAACACAACACAACACAACACAATGACAACGTAACCAACAACAACATAACAGCAACATAATACTGCCTGAACCACAAGTGTGGGAGCTACCATTATCTCCATGGCAACTACTTGAGGTCGAAGACCAGGATTGGTCGAGTGAAAGCCTGTGGGATGTACCCACTGTCCCCAGATGAAGGCACGTAAACCCAGAGCCAGTCGTCTTCCTGCTGTTTGTCTGCGTTCACGTACACAAGCTCTCCTGCTGACACAGTCACCTGGGGGAATCACACAATATGTCAGTAAAATACACCAATCATTAATCATTTTACTATCAAGATCTGTGGAAAAATTGGTGTATGTAGTACATCAACATTTTGTTTCACATTAAATTCGAAGCCTGTAGAGGACACTGAGCGAAGTGTATACATGAAATACAGTTGACATGCAGCACACAACTATCCCTTTGTCTGCAACTTAAACATATATAATATTATAAATGAATAGCTTAGCTATTTCATGCCATAATATAGTGATATCATTTACAATAAACAAGAGAGGATGACATTTACATGAGACACAGCTAGCATGCAGGTGCATCACCTGTACCAATATACTAATACTGTATAAACAGTTAGAACAAAACTATTCTTGTGACTTCAACTCAAAATATGACTTAAAGGCTCTTCGAATTCTACTGCACAAGATTCCATAAGAGTTTTATCATCACAACAAACTCTTTACCTCGTCCACTGCCTGTGCAGCAAAGTCATACAACACCAGGAACTTGTGGGTCTGCTTCACCAGCGCACGCAAGTCTTCGTCGGGCCAGGCTGACTCTGACGTCGCCACGCTGTCGGCCGTCTCATCTGCCACAGTTGCCGGGAGACTGCTGCTGTCTGCTGCGCCCTCATTGGTCGGCTGGTAGCAGTGCAGGGGGTCGTCTTGGGTCAGGTCCAAGAGGTCGATCGAGGACAGGAAGCTGGTGTGGTTGGTGGTCTCCATGATGGAGCTGGTTCCCATGGAAACTGCGGCTCTTGTTGTGGCGAGTCCGGCCGTACCGAGGTGAGGGGTCGCCGAGATCGGGTGCGTGACCTTGCGTGACCCGCCCTGGGACGCCATCTGGTCGGTCTCCTCCAGTGCGCTGGCGATCAGCTTCTGGATCTCCACGGAGACGGTTGCCATGGCGTCCCTGCCCTCCCCCAGCTCCTCCTCCTCCTCCTCATAGATGGTGTCAACTGCCCAGGAGTCGTCCTGGGTCTCTGAGGTCAGGAAGGTCGCGTCTCTGGTTGCCATGGTGATCTGGAGGGAGCTCGTCTCGGAAATATTTCCACCTGGAGACACGACAGAACTTTGATTAAACTGCAGTAAATAGTTGTTATATGTTTGTATTTTATGTTTGTAAGTATGTAAGAGGACTCCAGGAAGAGTAGTCACTGTGGTGTATTGTCACTAATTGGATGTTCCTGGAACAAACAAGCAAAAAATCGTTCCCTTGAGGGTTTGCAAGGATCATAAAGATGTTAATAACCTCTACATTGTGTCGAGTTCTTACCACATCTTACTCCGACTTTGATAGACTTTGAAATTGAAATATAAATGGATTTGGCTACACAAAGACACACACATGGATGCCACCCACAATTTCAGCACTTAGTTTAAAGGGACTGAATGTGACAGGATTGGGACAAAGGCAAAAGATATACTATTACCACCTACCAATGAATCTCCTCATTCAACTTGTTCTGGTAATTGAAAGGAACAATGCATACGGTACATACCAGTAATGTGAGTCGTGACAAAAGTTATTGATCAGTATCAATAAACTATTAATCAATTAGGAAATCTTTAAGTCCTTGTACTGCACCTGTAGTTTGGGCGGCACAGGGGGAACAGAAGTTGCGAGGAATGAACCCCTCTGCGCCGTCGTCCGTCCAAGCGAACACCCAGTCCGTGTCGTCTGTGTTCAGCAGCGTGACGGTCTCCCCACGCATGACGGACAGGTCGTTCTCCTCCACAGCCATGAAGTCAAACATCACCGTGGCCTGGCCAATCGGCTGCTTCGGAAACTCTGCAACCTGGGACAGAGAGCAGGAGTAGGGTTATGTCCTGGGAAAGAGAAGCTATCATTTGTACTTGGACTGGAGTCTGTAATAAGCCAGTGGTTGGAAACTTTCCTATATCATGGTTACATAATAATACAGGGCTTGAAACACAGTAATATTTCCTGGAATTGTCTCAGCAATGCATAAGATGTGAATCATTACATAGCAATTCATTATTGAATTCTTGTAGCTTGCCAAATTTTAAGCTGCAATGAAATTGAGTTTATCTGCATGTGCATATTTTGAGCCTTGCCTTCCTATGTAGTTACTAGACACTCACACACTCACTATAAAAAAAAAACTGCACTTATTATTAAGCATAATAGCATTTGCATATAGTTTTTTTGGGGGGACAAGAAAATAAACATGTAAAAGTGGAAACTCACCTGTAGGTCAGGGGTGGTGTGTGGGGCAGGAGGGATGACAGGTGAAGGGTCAGTGGGTGACCTGACCTGACCCTGGGTCAAAGTCAGCAGGCTGTACTGGGCCAGGCTGGTGGTGCTGCAACTCTGGTAGGAGACACATCAAAGAAAGGTAATACAATAGCGATATGCTAGTGCAGGTTTATGGATTTTGTAACAACATTGTGGGAAGAGGCATGCAGGAAAAAACAGTAATATGTGGGAAATTTTGGAAGATGGCAAGCAAATTCAATAGCACTTGACAACACAGAAAATTGAAAATTAATCCATACAGTTAAGTTGTAAAATAAATTTTGTTGATGTGTACGACAATGTGCACAAATAAATCAAAATGCAATGAGAGAAGTTACGATACTAGTAATTCAATGCTTACCTGTATACTGGTACCAGATGTCTGGTTAGACATCACTCCTGATGGACCGGTCAATTCTCTCAACATGTCGCTGGATTGTCCACTAGAACTAGTAGAAGCTCTTCCTTGCTGCTCATTGGTTGACCCCCCAGACGCCCCGAGGGTCGCTCTCAGCAGAACATTACTCCACAACAGGTTGGTGACATCGGACAGCGGGGGCTTGCTGACCTTTGACCTCTCCTGGCTTCCCGCCAAGTATGGTCTCCATAGCGATGGTTTGCTGGTTGTCTTGTCCGGACTGTTGTTTGTAGACGCACCTCCTGTAGCAGTGGTGCTTCCTACACTGCTGTTGCTTAAACCACTATTGTTCATCACATCCATAATGAAACTACTAACATCAGTTGCTGTCTCTGAGTTTTCCTGCTGAATATTATTAACCAGGGATGTTATACCCAAGTGTTTTTCTGTTGATCCCAAAGAGTTGTTTGCTGGTGCAGCTCTGAGGCTGTTTTGGCAAGCTTGTTGCACGATGTCTGGAGTGTCTCTGAAGGGTGAAGGAGGAGGCAGATCGGTCTGGAGGAAGGAGTTGGTCTTGGAGTCACACGCTTGGAGGAAGGAGTTGACTTTGGAGTCGTTTCCTTGGGGCAAGGAGTTGGCCTTGGAGTCATTCTCTTGAAGAAAACAGTTGGCCTTGGAGTTGTTTCCTTGGAGGAGTGATTCACTCCCCTGCTCAGATGGAGAGAGCAGCTGGATGCTTCTCACCACGGCAACTGCACTACTGATGCTGCTGATGGACCCTCTCCGCTCTCCCAGCCTGCTGCCATCGCTAGGCGTGGCTGTTGCCATGTCTTCCATCCCGTCCCCTGCTGCCTGACCACTGCTTGAGACTGATGCCTTGTCTTGTGGCTTCTCAGGTACAGTTTGACTTTGAGCTTGTTCACTTGGAGGCACTACAATCCTGTGTCCTATCCCTCCAGCTGCAGATTTTGTGTGGCCGCTTGGAGGAGTCACTTGCTTGTCGTCTAGGAAAACTGTACTGGCAGTACTGGTAGACGAAGACGAGGAACTCTTCTTTATTCCTCTGTTAGAGTTGGTGGAAACCTTGCGGCGTGGTCGCTGCCGGCGGATGTCAGCTTTAGAACCCTCGTTGCCTGTGCTTGATTCAGGAGAGGTGGAGCTAGAAGGGCCTCCATCTGCCCTCCCTCGCCTAGCATTGATATCATACAGCTTATTCCTCCTGTTGCCTGGATTTCCTTTATTATAGTCCAGCCCGTAGTGTGTATCAGAACCCAACCGTAGTTCCTGTAAGTCTTCGCTGCATGTAGCGATCGACCACCTCTGCGACGTTGCCACGGACGACCGTCGTGACTCATCCAGCAGCCCGTCCACCATGATGAGGTAGGAGTTTCGGTCCCTCCTCAGCGTTCTCAGACGCTGTAGCTGTTCCTCTGTCAGCGGGCTACTTCTCGAGGGCACCCTGTCTCTCCCTGCAGTTCCAGGCTGCGGTGCATGGTGGCGCTCCTCCTGACCTTCCAGCATCATTGCGTAGGACAGTCTGTTTGGTTTGGAGGGTGACTCGCCAACCCTTCTCCCCAGTTCCTCCTCTGTAAACAGTCTGTTTCCCTTCTGCTTGTGCCACACTGCCCCTCTGTCTCTACTCTGCACACACCCAGGCCCCTCTTCTATCAAATCTTCTAACATCTGCAGATAGGAACTTCTGTCTCGTACAACCTCCGGACCAGTACCGTAGGTTAGCTTCCTTTCTGTAGGAAGAACCTTGGGCCTGTCTTTCCCTTGGCCTATGACACTGTTTGGCCCCCTGTTCTCCTTGTTTGAGTCCAGTGGTCGTGACATTAACAAGTCAACCCTTTCCTGTGACAGTCTATCATTAGGAGGTTCATCCTGAATAGGATGTACAATGTATGACGAACCTTTCCTCTCAAAGGTCAGGGAGGAGCCACTGTGCCTGAACTCTGGCCTTTGACCTCCATCTGCAGGGCACCTGAGGCCGACCTCCAGTGTCCTGATGACCTCGTCATGGTACTCTGCATTAGACAGCAGGTGTGCGTTACCGTGCAACTTGGCTCCGATGGCATCCATGCGACCTTTGACCGAGCCATACTTCTTGTTGTTGTAACCTGTTAAGTAAAAGGAGAAATTCTCAGATTGTGAGAAACAAATAAGCTATAAACATTTAAAAAAATTAACCTACATACAGAAAGTTAAAAAAACAGCAAGGGTGCTAGGAGTATACAATATATGCAGGGCTTGAAATCCTTTTTTTCTGCATAGTACCTGCACTAGCCTGGTGTGGGTAACATTTAAAATTACCTGCACCTGACAGATTTTACCTGCACCGCTTAGAATTTAGTTAGTGTTATTCATACTAAAAACTGTACAGAAACCATCAATATTGCCATTATTTCTATTAATGCTTGCTATCATGTACTAGTTAGTAAGTGCTATTCAAGTTCAACCAATTTTTGCTTATTCCTTGGTAGAACTACTAGCTATAGAAGCTAATGAAAAATTGTAGACAATCATTCCACAATTCAGTAATTTCAATTTCAGTATCCCTTGCCATTTCTGTCTTGTAACTGTAACACAGCAACATGCACAAAGAAACTGGGATAAAACCACTGCCATGAAATCCCCCAGTAGGTGTTCCACAGTGTGCGAAATACAGTCATTCTTATGCATGACTCACACCATCAGGTCCAAATTAGGGAGAAACACAAAAGAACAATAGAATACAGCATAACTAGAGTGATGTGTTGACACACAGACAACTTAGCTAAAAATCACTCTGAAAGTGAAACTACCCACAACTTGGATAATAATCACTTAGGATCAAACTGGCGAACCTAGTAAGCTGACAACGAAAACAACAACAATTCAAAGGCATAGACCACCCCTCGACATAGGGTATGCCAAACACTAGGGCACAGAAGAAGAAACAAGAAAAGGAGGAAAAGGCTAGACTCGACCAAACTCACAACCCGCCTGAGAAAACACCAACAAAACCAAACCTCAATCCCTTGAGTACAAACAAGGCCAACAAACAGAAACCTAGTGGTCATCCTACATGCAAAAAGCAAACCACTCAGAAGCTTACGACAATTCAAGAAACTGACGAAGAAATCTGCATCTGTGGACACGACCACCCAGAAGGGGGCTGCTGGATCTGCTGCGACCAGTGCAACACATGGTGGCACAACACATGTGCAAAACTGTCTCACAAGGTTTGTAACTTTCTTCAAAAAAGCCAGGAACCTTACCACTGTGCAAAGTGCGTCACACAAGCTCTAAACCTCCAAGACTCTGACTCTGAGCGCAATAGAAAAGTCACAAACAAAGGAAACAAGGTAGAGACCACACAAGAACCACAGAAGAAAACTAACGCCCAAGACCAGACAGAACAAGTCATAGTAATAGACGGTATTCCCAGCCCAGAGAACTACAAAAACAGCTCGAGCATACGTGCAGAAATTGCAAAGAACAAGCCACAGAGTGTTCACAACATCAACCTCACATACCTACTACCCAGAGGAGGGGTTGCCATCCACTGCAAAAATAGCAAAACCACTGAAGAACTGTTACAACCGTGGGAAGAGGGTGCCTTTGGTGCCAAAGAAGGACAACTACAAAGCCACAAAATAAACCAATCATACGGAAGACGAGCAGTACTGAAGAACGTACCTGTCACCATCTCAGAGGAAGAGATCGAACGCGACATACATGAACAAACTGGAAATCTGGTCAAGGCACACAGGGATAC